ATTTCAAACATAGCCACAGCACTGTTTTGCATCTCTAAGCAACAGGACACTGTTTTGTTCATGAATGAATTAACCGTTTAAATGATTCGGTTCAATCGCAATGACTCACTTATTAACAGTGACTTGCTGCCACCTGCCGGCAATTTTAATTTCATATTTAAAGTTTCTTTTTATTATTCAGATAATTTCGAATAACAGTATTCAATGTTTTATGTTTAATATATCAAAACATTATTCCTGCAATTCACTGCATGATTTAGTCTATTAATATGCATTAAGAATGATCACATAATTCAAGATATGGGGGCAGAAAATGTATATATTTATATAATTTCATACAGTTACTCAATATCACATGAAGAGTGCCTTTTTTTTTGTTTTTTTTTTAAGTATGGTTACAAATGTGATATTGATTTTATACAACAGTTTAATAAACAATAAGTTAATATCAAGAGACATGTTTTAGACACTATATTGACTGTTTTTGCTCTATTTCGCCAACAAACATCATTCCAAACACAGCCACAGCACTGGTTTGTGTCTCTGAGCAACATGACCGTGTTTCGTTCCTGAATGAATCAACCTGAATGAATCAACCGTTTAAATGATTCGGTTCAATCGTAATGACTCACTTAACAGTGACTTGCTGCCACCTACTGGCGGTCTTAATTTTACATTTCAAGTATCTTTTCATTTTTTAAATAATTGCAAATGTCCGTATTCAACATTTCATGTTTAAAATATCAAAACATTATTTATGCATTTGTAACTGCAGGTTAAAGCATTCCATGTCTCTTTAAGCTGCATTAATGTGTAAACTTCCAAATGCCAACTTCTGCAAAGATTAATTGTATTGATACTGATTTCATTTGTTTAGTAACAGCCTAAATGTATTATTATTATAATTGACTGATTAAATGTAAGAATTTGACTGAAAAGATGATCTACACTTTTACAAAAAAATGGCTTTATAAAGGTAAAAATGCCCATAAAAGGTAAAAATCAATTTAAACTTATTGGAAAAGATTAATTTCTATCACTGCTGTGAACTGACCACACAGAATATGAAGAATATCAAAAACTTCAGGAGTCAGCTGTCCACGGCAGTCCTTAAGATATCAGCACAATAAAACACTCAGCAAAATATTGTCTAAATCCAGCGTAGCGTTAGTTCTGGCAGGTCACGTTAGTCAAGCTCGCGTTGATCCAGGAAGATGTCTTACTTGGCAAAATCACGGCGACACTGATACTTGGTGATGTGTCAAGCACTGCCTTTTCAGGTGAACGTCCTCTGGCTTACAGGGCCTCACTGTGCGTGTATTGGGCAATCGGGGAGTTGTCCATATCTCCCATAGGTGGATCTCGAACACGAGATGATGAAAGAGAACAATAGGTTACTGTTTGTAACCCCGGTTCTCTGAAACATCGAGTGGAGAGATCCACCAAGTTTGCCCCGCTTGCTGCACGAGAAGCGAATATGCTCACTGAGAAAAGGTAGCGAGTGCAAAGGCTTTATGTTTGGTTAAGGGGCGGTCCCCTACCTGCCATTGGGCACGCGCTCCTGTCTGTCAAGCCAGGCTTGGTACAATTAAATGCTTCTGCATAGGCCAGGCACGGATGCCCTTACCATAGGTGGATATTTCAGAGAATCGGGGTTACGAACAGTAACCTATTTTTTTAATGGAGATTTGTACAAAAAGAAAGGCAACAGATATTTTATATTTTTACATACCAGTATATTCTGAGATGCAGAAAGGTTCACTTTCTCCTAAGTTATCTGCAGTAAGAGCAGTGATGCATAATGTGTAATTGACTCCAGCAGTCAGACTAGTTATGTTATAGGAAGTGTTAGTAGTTGCTGAATATCCGTTTATTTGAACTTTGAGATTCCTGATCACACCTGGCTCTGTGTGGGGAGAGAAGAGCAATTCATAAATGTTAATGTAAAAATAAAACCACTATAAATACACAAATTATAAATACATATACTGTAGGAAGAAATGTGAACTGGTGCAACAAATGAATGAATAACATATTAAAGGGGTTGATGTTGCTAAAAAGAACATTATTTTGTATTTGGTGTAATGAAATGTGTTTATGCGGTTTAAGGTTAAAAAAACACATTATTTTCCTCATATTGTACATTATTGTTTCTCCTCTATGCCCTGCCTTTCTGAAACGCGTCGATTTTTACAAAGCTCATCGGTCTGAAAAGCGAGGT